GACGTCAAAACATTAAAGGCGTTTATAAAATGTATTCAATAATTTTTACCCAAAGACGTCAGAACATCAAAGGGTTTTTTCCAAATCTACGTAATTAGTTTCTAGCCAAAGACATCAAAACATCAAAGGCGTTTATAAAATCTATCCAATACCTTCTACTGATTTATTAAGCCTTAGCGTCGAAACACCATGGGCTTCTAAAAAAAAAAGACTTAGCGCTGGAGTAGAGTACTACTCGTTTCGGTGTGCCGGTGCTAAGTGATCTTTCATATAAAATCTCCGCTATTTATATACGACACTTTGCTTTGCTTAATTGCACGCACAACCGCACAAGTATAATTCGCTGTCAGCTTTGTTATGCTTGTCGTTTAAATATATTTGTTTATTTGTTTAAATATATAAATCGAGTTTTATCCAGACAATTTTTAGTAAAAAAATAATACGTTTTATGTAGGGCGGAATTTGTACAAAATTCCGTCCCTACAATTAAAATAAAATAAATATAAAAATATTAAAAAGTATAAGTTTAAGTACAATACTTATTTATTTGAATATATTTTGCATTTTTTTAATTTGTCAATGTAATCTTAGGTTTAATTCATTGTGATGCAGTTGCGTGCATGCGGGGGTGGCTTTTAGTAAGTTATTTACCTATAATATATTATATAAATATTAACCAATTTTTATTTCAGGTATTAACTGCACACTAGTTATATGTAGGTTGGAAATTGGTAAAAATTTCCATCCTTACAAGTCCTATTATATATGTAATTATTTTTATTATAAAATTAACAAATTTGTATTGTCAACATTTTAAATAATATTTAATCAATAAAAAAACTTGAATAAATAAATTTATGTCTTACTATTTAAAAACGCACAAGTTCGTTTTGCATGAATTTAAAATCAAATGTTTAGATTACTCTCAAATACTTCAACTACTTTGAGAATTTTAAGAGTTAGAGTACTCCAAACAAACGAAACTAATATTCATTTCATTCCATTTTGTTTTTATGCGCATTCATTCGTATTCGTTCGTTGAGAGTGAGAAGAGTATGCTACTATTCTCAACACAATAGAATGCTTTGAAACTGAAATCAAATACGTGCATGCAGTACTTTAATTCATACGTGGTTTGTATTTCATTGCGCGGACTGTTGCATTGTCCGTAAAACTCTCTTTTGAACTCTTTTTATTGTGGCTGCTGTTTTTGTTGCGAATTCATAGGTTTCTGCCATAGTTAAAACTTCTGCAAGTGAAGGCTGTACAAATATTCTCATGTGGAGTATTCAATATAAATTGGCCTCTTATCTTTTCATTTATGTAATTAAGAGAGCAATCTGAAGCCTTATTAACGAGTTCACAGTCTCTCGCAACTATAGCTCTGGTTTTGTTTTAGTATGCATTTATAAAACTCAAATTTGTATACAACCACATGCGTTTTCATAATGAAATGCTTTGTTAACTTTTCTGTTAAATCTTTAAAACTTTTATTATCAAAACCGATGCAATCCACGTGGTTTTTCAATTCGAACAACTAAGCACCGATCCGTAAAATAAAACTATTTCTTTTTCCCGGCATATCAAGGCCAATGGCTGCAAAATGTTGATTTAACTGTTCTAAATACATAATCCAGCGATGCTTGTCTTTGTCGTGTGGGTGAAAAGGAGGCACGGAGGCAGTTGAGTTTTCAGTCTGATTACGTGCTAATTTTTACATCCATTTTTGTTGATGGCTTAGCATTTCTTCTTGCTGACGGATAACCACGGCAATTATTTGTTCATAAATTTTTTTTTGTTATGCCGAAAATTATATATTATATTAGTATAATATGCTTATTGTTTTTTTAATTGCATTTTTTTAATATTTTAATTTTCTGCTCGTCTCCAATGTTACATTTTGGGAGTTGTAGCACTAAAAACACACACGTCGATTAAGAGCTCAATGGAAAATAAAACAGCTGTATTAAGATAACTCATTTTACAGATTCTTAACATAACATATACAGATATTCTTAATGCTATATATACAAAACAAGAGATGAGAGATAAATATGTAACCCATATCACGTTGTTGTTTACGTTTTTGTTGAATTTGTTCCTCTGATAAATTTTCTACATGTTTTCTTGGGTAACGCCAAATTATATTATTTTTTTTATTGAAACAATTATTACAAGAAGTACAAAAATTTTTTATCACAGTAATTGGCTGTACATCTAGACTGGCTTTAGTATTTGCTTGTTCATAGTGTCAGACTCCAAGTTAAATAAAACACGTCTGCGTACTTGTGAGTGTCAAGCGTAACTCTTACACTATTACGCTCTAACAACATCATACTTATGAGAGCATGGAAACATACATTTGAACTATAATAAAGAGAAGTGACAATATAAACAATAATAAAAAAGAATGACAGTTCAACCTTCCTTATCTTGTCCTCGAGTTACAAGTTTACTGTATATCAATATCGTTGTCTTAATCTTAATCATCGTCGACTGTAGGAAATAATCATGGTTTCAAGTTGATATAGTTCATATATTTCTGTGGAAACTAATTGCTTTGTATTTAAAAATTTTGTGTCCTATCAAAAGAGTTAAAAATTTTACTTCCTTTTCAAGAAAATATTTTCCTAATCTTTCGTGTTTTTTAATAAAAGTTAGATACTCTACCTATGTAAATACATATTTTTTGGGAATAAAAAAAATCTTTCTAAAATATGTTTTTATTTCTTTTAAACTGGTGCAAAACTTACCAAACAAATACTTTAAGTATACACTTTCTAAATTTGCATTTAAAAATGCACAAAAGTTGGGAAGTAATATACAAAAAAATAATATTTTAAGTTAAAATACAAATAAGGTTAAGACAGTTATAATTTTTAGTTAACATTAATTAACAAAAATAATTATTTTAAATATTTGTTAATTTATGCAATTTTTAACATAAGTTATGATCCCAACGAACGCAAATATCAATTTTTTCAAAATTTGCAACAAAATAATATTTTCTATTTCAAACAAAATTGTGAAGTTCCTGTAATTTTTTTCCACCCTTGGGTGCAAGCGCAAAATCGCACATTTGTGCACATTTATGCACGTTTGTGCAATCGCACATTTGTGCAAACGTAATATGAGCAGCACACTCGTGTGCACAGAGAATTTTTTGTCGCACAGTGCGGTGCGAGCATAAAATTTTCTCGCACATCTGATTGTGCACATTTTTATAAATCAGTCACACAGCACGAATAAGTGTGCACGAATCTGTGTGCACAATCATCGCTTTGTGCGATGTGAAATTTAAAATCGCACAACAAATTTGAGTCCGTGCATTTTTTTCTCAACACCACAAATGTGCGTGTGCATATTTTAAAAATAATTTCCATTGCCACAGTGCAGTGTACGATTTTGTGCACCACATTCCGAACTCTGGTTTCAACGACTGTCTTTTATCACGCTGCTTTCTCTGTTCAACCACCATGTCTGCAATGGCATACCTGTCAAATTGCCAAACCTTCTTCAGTAAGCGCGAGGTCACCCTCTTTATACTGTTGTGGAGTTTTATATTTGGCATCGAATCTAGTTTTCCAAACCTCACGTGCAGCCTTGATGTTCTTTATAGTATCCTCGCAACACGCACTTAATTTGTGGAAATCGATATTGATATTTTCATCTGTTACAGCAGCCAACAGTTTATTTCCACTGAAATTTATTGTTGTATTTATCTTCCATTGCAAGCAACGAAGTTTTGCGTCTCAATTTTTTGTGCCTGATGGAGTCTTTAAATAAGAGAAAATGTATTGATTCTCACGTTCTGCAATACTATTGGCTCGGGAAGTGCGTACGGCAACTTTAATATGCTGAATATTGTTATTAGTACTGTAGGCATCGAACACTGAGGATGTGCTGTACCTCTATCGGTAACGATTCGACTGGCAATACCAAAACACAAAATCTCACAATTCTCCATCCAACTTTTTTCGGTATCCTATCATGATGTCTTCTATATATCATGATGTCCGATTTCCCTTTAAAATGAATTCTTTCTCAAGCTGCTCTCGCTGTGTTGAATCGACACGACTTTTCAAAATATCGAAGACCTTACTGTTAGAACTCCACTCCATACCCAAAGGTTAATGTGCGTAAAATGTTTGTAAACTTGCTTTGGTCGTTGCAACCGTGCAGCTATAATTAGAAAATGCAACCCAGTGCACACATGAACTGTCAGTTCATGTGTCAGCTGATTGTCATTTGTGCTTGGCTTTTGTTTTTGAGTTCCGGTAGAGGGAAGGCGGTTGTCACGACCAAAAGTAAGTGAAAAAATAATTAATTTTAAGTATTAGAAATTAATAAATTTGTTTTAAGATTTTAAAGCATTACATTACATCACAATACACACAAATAACTTGTTTTGCTATTAAAAATTGGTCAATAACAAACTTTAAAATTTTTGTGGCAAGCTGTAAAAATCTTGCGGTAATCGAGAAAAGAAAATAGTGTGGCGATTTGCCTGGAAAGAAATCCGAAAAAATCCTTTTAATCGGGAACACATATAAAAGAAAAATATGTCATCCGGCAGCCAGAAGTCGACTGTACAATGTGCCGTGTGCAAAAAGGTGAAGACTGGAAAGATGGTGCAATGCGACGCATGTGACCAATGGAGTCATTTTGCATGCGTGGGCGTGGATGACAGCATTGCAGACCTGCCTTGGAGTTGCGAAAAATGCAACACGGTAATGCAGGTTTCAGAAGCGGTTCCGAATAAGGCACCAAGTGAGGAGGACTTGGTAAGTAAGGGCGGTTCAATCATGTCAAGAAACAGCATGAGAATCGAACTGCAGTACTTAGAAGAGCAAAGAAAAGCCGAAATGAAATATATAGAAAAGAAACGTACAATAATGCTGAAGTATGTAGGTGAGGATGATGTTAAGGGTGAAGGCACATAGGACGTTAGTGAGGTAAGGACACATAGGACGTTAGAATGGGTGAAGAAGCAGGTTGGTATGAACAACGATGACAGCAAACCAAACGTAGGTTGTGGTGTTCAGTTGGGTGGTCCAGCTGATAGGGTGGAAACCCAAGCAGTATCGAAAGTTATACCGGCGCTGATGATAGAACAAATTAATGCGCGTCATGTCGTTCCACGAGATTTGCCTATATTTACCGGAAAGCCGGAAGAGTGGCCACTTTTCTACAGCAGTTTCAGCAATTCAACACGTTTATGCGGTTTCAGTGAAGACGAGAATCTTTTACGATTGCAACGTGCCCTTAAGGGTAAGGCACTTGAATATGTTAGCAGTAGGCTCATGATACCAGCATTAGTGCCGGAAATAATGTCAACTCTTCAAATGGTATTTGGAAGACCAGAACACATAATCAATAACTTAATTACTAAAATTCGAGCAGTGTACATTAATATAAATAAATTGGACACAATTGTTACGTTCGCCTTAGAGGTAAAAAATTTGATCGCAACTATGGAGGCTTCAGAGTTACATTCACCCTTAGTGAACCCGTTGCTTATCCAAGAGCTTGTGGAAAAACTACCACCGCAGATGCGATTGCAGTGGGCTGTTGCATCGCGTAATATCAATGTAACACTTAAAACATTCGGCAACTGGATATATGAACTAGCAGAAGCAGCAAGTAAGGTATCGCCAGTTTTTGGTGCTGGAGCCAGTGCAGATAATGAAAGGCGCAAAGCGCAACGCATTAATTTTCATGAAGAAGAACCTCAGGGTGCAGTAGACGATAAGCACAAAATTCTAACATGCTTTTATTGCAAGGAGGCACATGCGTTAAAAAAGTGTGCAAAGTTTAAAACACTAAAAACAGACGAGAGGTGGGGCGTAGTGCGTGAAATGAGACTATGTGGAAGATGTCTACTGCAGCATGATTTTCGAACGTGCAAGAGGACCCGAGAGTGTGGTATACACAACTGCAACACGAAACATCACCCATTGCTACATAAACAAACAAGTTCAACTGCAAGTGGGGCAAATGAAACGTTGGCGGTTCATCATCAACTAACTTCACAAGCGCTGTACAGAATTGTTCCAGTTACAATATATGGAAATGGTGTTACCTGCAACATTTATGCCTTTCTGGATGACGGATCTGGTCCAACGTTAATAGAAAAAGACGTATTAAGACAACTGCGGATTAAAGGTGAAACGAAAGATCTTTGTTTACGATGGACAGATGGTACGGTACGCAAGGAGCCTGATTCTGAGCTGGTCAACCTGCAAGTCTCCAAAATACGCGAAGGTAAAAGGTATTCGTTGTGCAATGTGCGTTCAGTAGCTAAGCTGGAGCTACCCGAGCAATCTTTAAATATGACAGAACTTACCGATAAGTATAAACACTTAAAGGGACTACCAGTAGAATCGTATCAAAACGTTAGGCCTCGAATGATAATCGGCCTAAGCAATAAAGAGGTAGCTATGCCAATGAAGTTCAGAGAGGGAGGCAAGAATGAGCCGGCTGCAACGAAAACTCGACTCGGGTGGACCATATATGGAATAATTAAGCACGAACCTAATACTATTAGGGAAACGTTAAATTTACACATCTGTGAATGCGATGATGATCTAAGTTTGCAGCGTTTAGTGAAAGATTTTGTCAGTAATGAAAACGTTATTGAAAGTAAGAAAAAACTAGAAAATATGGAGTTGGAACAACAAAAAAGTATGCAATCAAAAATAAGTCGAAATGGTGAATACTTTGTAGCAAGATTGCTTTGGAAATCAAATAACATTACTATGCCGGATAATTACTTAATGGCGTTGCGTAGACTTCAGTGCTTTGAGTGCAAGCTGCAATCCAATGTAACATTGCAAAGCTGGGTATGTGATCACATCGATGACATGAAGGCGAAAGGTTATATACGCCAGCTGAAACCTAACGAAGCCGAGGGGTGTTATCCACGTAAATGGTACTTACCGATGTTTACAGTCAGTAATCCGAATAAATCACAAAAGCAAAGACTAGTGTGGGATGCAGCTGCACAATATGACGGAGTCTCGTTAAACGCGTGTTTGGAGAAAGGTCCAGATCTGCTCACTTCGTTGGTAGATGTTCTTGTTAATTTCAGAATCGGAAAAATTGGTATAAGTGGCGACATTAAAGAGATGTTTCATCGAGTACTCGTAAAAGAAGAAGATCAACATTCACAACGCTTCCTGTGGAGAAATTGTGACGATAGCAGACCACCAGACGTTTATTTGCTACAAGTTATGAGTTTTGGGGCAACATGTTCACCATCGTTGGCACAACTGGTAAAAAATAGTAATGCACGCGAATACGAAACCGAGTTTCCGCGAGCAGTGAAATGTATTTTACAAAGGCATTATGTAGATGACATGCTGGATAGCGTCGACACAGTGGAGGAAGCCATTAATCTAGTCAATGAGGTTAGAAATATTCATAAGAAAGCAAATTTCCATATTCGCAATTGGGTTTCAAATTCTAACGCAGTGCTGAAAGCTATAGGTAACCAAGGCCAGGAATTTCAATTTTGCTCGGCTGGAAGGCGTATAGACCATACATTTGAGGCAGAGAAGGTATTGGGAATCCATTGGCAAACCGACACTGATATGCTCACATTTGATCTGAAGTTTACCAAAGCCACTGAGGATGTTCTAAGTGGATATAGATTACCTACGAAGAGAGAGTTGCTACGATTGATGATGTCAATATTCGACCCTTAAGGGATGCTTACCTTTTACATTATTGACGTAAAAATTTTGTTTCAAAAAGTTTGGCGAAGTGGAGTTAGCTGGGATGACGCTATTCCTAATGAGCTAGTTGATGAGTGGAACAAATGGCTGTCGCTGCTTGGCGGTGTGAAAAATGTGAAGATACCGAGATGTTACTTCGCTACGGTTAATAAGGATGCAGACTCCATTGAATTGCATGTCTTTGTGGACGCAAGTGAGGTTGCATATGCAGCGGTGGTGTACCTAAGAGCGAAGAATCGCAACAACATAGATGTTTCCTTGATATGTTCTAAAGCAAAAGTTGCACCATTACGACCAATATCAATTCCAAGACTGGAATTACTCGCGGCGGAATTGGGAGCACGCTTAGGAAACAACATAAAAAGGGCAATAGACTTGAAAGTGACCAGTATAACGTATTGGAGCGATTCAAAGGCTGTTCTATCGTGGATAAAATCTGACCCACGAGATTACAAACAATTTGTAATGTTCCGCATAGCAGAAATCCAGGAGTTGTCCGAAGCAGAACAATGGCGGTACATTCCTACAAAATTAAATGTTGCGGACTTGGCTACAAAACAAACTAGTAATCCAGACTTTACTTGGAAAAACCCTTGGTATAAGGGACCGAAGTTCCTGTATGAAGCAGAAACTTGTTGGCCAAATAATGTTGGCGTACAGAAATATAACGAAGATGCTGAAATCAGAAAGCAACGATTGTTGGTGGCTCATGTAGCAGAGGAGGAACCTCTCATAGATGTCTACCGATTTTCAAAGTGGGAACGTTTAGTTCGATGCATGGCCTATGTGAAAAGATTTATGTCTTTACTATCAACTAATGAAATGAAAAAGAAGAAATCTGTAAACCAATGCTTGTCAGTTGAGGAACTGAAATGGAGTGAAAATTTCTTGTACCAGACAGCCCAGTTACAGGATTACAAGAAAGAAATGACCGCATTAAATAGAGACGCTAATATTACTCTTTCTAAAATTAGCCCTTTGCGAAAACTTTCACCATTCATAGATGCACAGAATGTTTTAAGATTAAAAGGTAGATTAGATAAAGCCGTATGCATCGATGATTCAACCAAATTCCCAATTATACTATCAAGGAAAAACTACATAACTAAGTTGATCGTAGACTGGTATCATAGAAAATGGAAACATCTAAATCATGAAACGGTGGTTAACGAAATCTTTCAGAAATACCACATTCCGGGACTGCGTAGACTGTTAAAGCAGGTAAGAAATAATTGCCAACATTGCAAGGTTCGCGATGCGAGACCAAAGCCGCCGGAGATGAGTGTGTTACCAGAAGCACGACTATCAGCATACTCCCGACCATTCTCACATGTTGGAATAGATTATTTTGGCCCGTATACTGTAACAGTAGGAAGACGCTCAGAGAAGCGCTATGGCGTCGTTTTTACATGCCTTACGTGTCGAGCAGTGCATTTGGAGATAGCTTATAGCCTGTCAGCCAGCTCGTGTTGTATAGTGATACGAAATTTCATAGCCCGAAGAGGAGTGCCGAATGTCATCTATAGTGACAATGGAACCAACTTAACAGCAGCTGAAAAGGAGTTATGAGAAGCAATAAAGAACGTGAACTTCAATGAATTGCAAGCTGAATTTACAAGTCCGGAAACACAATGGGTTTTTCTTCCACCAGCTGCGCCGCACATGGGTGGAGCGTGGGAGCGGATGGTGCGATCCATAAAAACAGTGTTAGGAGCAATAATAAGCCCGCAAGCAAAAATTAATGATGAAAAGATGCATAACCTGTTCTGCGAGGTAGAATCAATCATAAATAGCAGACCGCTCACTTATTTGTCGATTGAAACAGCAAGCGAAGAAGCGTTAACTTCGAATCATTTCTTGTTGGGGTCATCTTCCGGGAACAAGCCGCCGGGGAAGTTCGATACTAACGACGAGCACGTGAAATCCTCCTGGAGGCATTCGCAATACCTTGCCGATCGGTTCTGGAAAAAATGGATACAAGAGGTGCTTCCAACGATGACAAGACGGACGAAATGGTTTGGTAAGATAAAACCCATCGAAGCAGGTGATGTCGTCATTATTGTTGACCCAAATTCTCCTCGCTACACATGGCCGAAAGGAATTGTAATTAGTGCCATTAAAGCAAGGGACGGGCAGACCAGGAGCGCCATAGTGCAGACTACTCGAGGGCAATATCATAGACCTGCTGCAAAATTAGCCGTATTAGATGTTCGTGGAGCGGCAGTTTAGAGTAAGTCGTATTCTTATTAAAGAGATACTGAGGGGAGAATGTTAGAACTTCACTCCATACCCAAAGGTTAATGTGCGTAAAATGTTTGTAAACTTGCTTTGGTCGTTGCAACCGTGCAGCTATAATTAGAAAATGCAACCCAGTGCACACATGAACTGTCAGTTCATGTGTCAGCTGATTGTCATTTGTGCTTGGCTTTTGTTTTTGAGTTCCGGTAGAGGGAAGGCGGTTGTCACGACCAAAAGTAAGTGAAAAAATAATTAATTTTAAGTATTAGAAATTAATAAATTTGTTTTAAGATTTTAAAGCATTACATTACATCACAATACACACAAATAACTTGTTTTGCTATTAAAAATTGGTCAATAACACTTACCTTGTGATAATGTACGCATTTCGTTATAAATTTCAGTTGATTCCTTGTCACCATATTCAACATTGATCAGTAGAGTTCTTAACCGTTTTTCTTCACAGTCAGTGAAGAGGGTTATCAATCTTCAATATGTTGTACATATTTGTAGTTGGTGTATTGATAATAATGTGGTGAATTTTCTTCAACAGTATAGAAATTTGTTAAGTCATTAGTTATTTCTGCCGTCAGATGTATGGTCATGTCTCAACTATGTAGTATTTTAGTATTATAAGTTTTATTTTTATTTCATTTTAAATATGTTGTATTACATAGAAATTAATAACAATTACCATATATTACATACATAAAGCTTACAGCTATGGCCTTTTAGCCGTCTGCCGGAAGTTTAGATTAATCCAATAACTAGTTTTTATAAATATTAAATAAATATTATTACTTATAAACTCAATACAATATAAATATTAAATTAACTTACTATACCAAAAATAATAGATTTCAAATAACTTAATTTAATAATCTTTGTTAATAATATTTTACCTATTTTTTAATGCATTTTTAATAAAAGCCGCTAACAATCTCCAGTTGGGGCTATTCAGTATCAGTATGGTTTCATTCGAGCGTAAGTTTATCGAAGAACAACAATCTGTGCTCTTTAAAAATTGTGCAATCGCCTACTAAGTGTATCACATCGCCTTTCAATTTAAGGTTGCACATCGTACACAATGTGTCTTGACTTTCGTACTTGTGAAAATAATTATTGACACCTAGATCATAATTCAGTTTCAATGTTTGGGTATATAGCGTTGGTAAACCAGTCTCTATATGCACCATATAATTTGGGGTGTTTTTTGGCAGACGAAATGTTCTCTTTATATAAAATGTCTGCAATTTTTCTACAGGATCATATTTATCCACACCCCAAATTTGTGCTGCATAATTTAGAACTGATTTAACTGTGGCTTCTGATTTCCCAAGACATTTTTAAAGGTACAATTAATAGCCAATTTAGCTTTCTTTAACTTTTCGTTCAAGTGGTTATCAAATTTCGCGTTATATTTCATATTTATTCCTAGGTATTTGTAATTATTAACCACTTCTAATGATCATCGTTAAGGTACCATTTTTCGTAATTTCTCAATCTTCTAGCATGTTTCTTAAATATCATCAGTTTTGATTTGTCTGTGTTTATAGATAACATAGTCTCCACAAGTTGTAATATATTTTTATTTCACCTATCATATTTTGTAACATTATTTGAAAATCAGCAAACTCCACAATATCATCAGCATATAATAGTACTTTCAGGCACGTGTTGGCAATCATAACACCACCAGGAAAAATTTACTTAAGTCATCAACGAACAGTGCAAACAATATAGGGCTTAAGACACAACCTTGTGTCACTCCGGTACACTTTTTTTTAACTCCACTCCAAAATAATTTGCTATCAGCATTAAAATATGACTTCCTTTTCTTATCACACAGCTCATTGTATTCTCTGTTTATATTTTTGTATTTCTCTAAATTTGCCACATCACCACCTTTTTTTACTGTTCGTAGCCATTTAAATGATTTCTTTCTTGCAGTTTCACATTCCAAATCACCAAATACCATTTTTGTTTCCTATATATACGTGCCGAATTACCCTGAAAAGATTTTTCTGTTTGTTTTATAAAATTATGAATGTCATCTCCTTCCTTCGACGCGAATATATTATTTTCGCATGCTTACCACAAGCTTTACTCAAGCTTGTCTTGGTACATATCTTTATATTTATCTTTCCATATAAGTTTATGTTTATTCGAGTATATCATGTCGCGTATTTGAAACTGTTCAGTTATTATTAACCATATTGCTTTCACAAAACAAAAATCTATAGTTCACCTTGCTACACCTCTGATAAACGTGAATAAACGTCACTTTTAGTGCGGCCATTTAATAAGGTGACAGCAAATGCACTGCAAATTTCTAGTAATTTTTTGTTTTATGATTGCTTCAAGATCTCTTTTCAGCTGTAATAAAGCAGATTTATTTTCCTGTCTAGTACAGCTCAAGTCCTTTTCAACGTAAATCTGGGTGCCATGCAGTTTTCTACCATTTTTTAAGACATCTTTTGCCATTTCAGAAGTTTACAATTCAGCGATCCACTTTATTTTTTTTTTCAAATATCGCCTTTGTGTCTCGAACTTTAATACTTGTCATAGCCATTTTGTCTCTGAAAATTGCCTCCACATCACTTTTTGTTGCTTTTTCTTTCAGTAAACCTTTCACTAGCACATTACGAATTTCACTTTGTTCGACAAGTTTTTCAATTTCCCTTCTGTCCTCATATCGTTACTTAATTGTTCGATTTCTAGTTTTCCAATTTTGGCCTTTGGTTTTCGTTTTCCGTTTTTTCCATTTTCAGTGACACGTTGCCCAATTGTTCCTTAAGTTTGCATATGTCACTGTTTGATGCTAACGTAGGTATTCGCGAATCAAAGTTACCACTCAGACCTGCAGTATTAGCTTCGAATTTTTCTATTATTTGTTGAATAGTCTGCATAACATCACCGAGCGAAAAATCTGGCGAAAGCTCAGATCGCACACACTTACCATATCTTGTCTCTGTGATTGCCTATCCGGTATGCATAGGTCCGACTTACTAGCGGCGTTTTTTGCATCTGTTGGTGGTGATCTTTCAACTAGCATTTTTTTTTTCTTTTTTAAATATATTGTATATATTTGTTTTGTTTATTATGATGATATAATTGAAAACTTTCTATGATCTGTTTGTGTTTTCTTTTAAAGCTTAAAATTCGGTTTGTCAAACAAACCCAAAAGCACAGACATAAACCACTCTGAGCTTTATACTTAGTATATTTTCTATAAGATTTAATCGAATGCCAGTGATCGCAAGCACTTTTGTGTATATTTGGTTTTTACTGTTGTTAAATACAACGTTACTTTGTCCACTGAAGTCTCAACAAAATAAAGTTATATTATTATCAAGTTATAGCACCATATTCGAACTCGTAGTAATTACAAGAACGTTTATTTTTAATAGTCAACCAATTGTCATTTGTTTCTCACGATACAACTTAAATTTTTCATTAAACTTTTCAGGGCGCGCTAGCTAATTGTAATCGGACGGAAGCAAGCAAAAGCGTCTTAAATTACGGCTGAAATCTAAGGTGGAACAGCATATGCCGAGGGATAAATGGCCATGGATAGTTGGTCTTTAATATGCGAACTCTGGATACTTGTCGACCTCCAGTTTTAATTAAACTACTCACGATAAAAGGGTCATGTCGTGGGTGACCTTTCAATCTCGAATTTAAATATATTTTGTATTTTTAAATATATTTTTAAATAAAAACTCAAACGAGCTTGATGTCACTCTGACGACATCACCTTCAAATGGTTCCTTCACGAAATCTGTACCTGAGTATGTGTCAGCCATTGAGCTGGAAGCCTACATTCATCCTGACAGCGCTACTGTGTGCGCCAAAATGGACCCGGATTGGCCACCGTCTTCTTCTCCGCTTGCGGAAACGGTGAATGTACCAGGAAAATCGTCACGGTCTCAATTAAGGCAGCAGGAAATAATTGAAGTTTTGTCTTCAAAGTCCGAAGCAGCCGAATCTTGTGATTCCGACAACGACAATGTGGTCCCTCAGAAGTTAGTAATCTCACTTTGGAGTCTCCTAACTTCTCTCATCTCAAAAGAAGCGAGAGAAGAGGGTTCAAGGCGGCTATGGCATCAGGTTTTAGCAGAGCAGAAGCTCTAAAAATCGCCACGCAGTCCTCGACTGCGATTAAGCGGTGCAGATTGGAGGAGCAATCTCCCGGTTTGACTACCATCAAAAAACTTAAGATGGCTAATTCAGAGTAATTAAATAAAATCGAACTCTAGCTGACAAAGTGGAGTAAGTAAATGATTCCTGTTCAATAAATGATATTCAAACAGGCAGGCCAGATAAACGCG